CCAGAGTGCTTATCTCTTTGTTTAAGTATATATATATATATATATATATATATATATATATATATATATATATATATATATATACACACATACATACATATACATACATACATACATACATACATACATACATACATACATTATCTGTCAATTGGCTCGTCACAAGAGTCCATCACGACAGAAACCCAATATTTTTACTGTTGCCTTTGTTACACATTTTGTGTTATATTTTGTGCTGATAAATAAATAAAGGGAGACTAGTATAGATCTATTTCAAGCTATTTAGCTCTTATCAGCTATACTAGTCTCCCTTTATTTGTTTATCAGCACAAAATATAACACTATATATATATAAACACACACACACACACACACACATACATACATACATATATCCACTTAGTTTCCTTGGCAACATTCTGCGATTTCCTCCTGCATTATTTTCCCTTTCCAGTTAAGCCTTACTGATCCATGTATTAACCAGGCCGGAGACTGCCTGTATTTTAAACCAAGAGGAGATTGACCAGATGGTGCCCTTTTCTGGAACGTTTTATCGGATGACAGTGCAGTAGTTAGAATATTATACCTTAAAATAAACAGGAAATTTAGATGTTGTTTAAGGATAGAATTCTATTGTATCCTATTTTTAGTGTAAACCACCTAGAAGTGTTTTGAAATTGAGTGGCCACTAAATCTTACGGATAAATGACAGTCTGCTGCGTGTACATCTTAAAGTACTGTCAATTTCCATTTTAGGAGCCATTTGGCCAAAGTGCAGCTTCATCCGTTATTAAAGGAAGATATTGAACATTTGCAGCACAGAAAGTGTGTCCCCATGGCATCAAAACTCCGATTCATCCCGAAACCAAATGGGTTGAGGCCTGTGGTCAAGCTACATGATGTGGTCGGAGCAGAAACGCTTTGCAAAAACAACAGAGACAAAAAGGTGCTTAATTTATTGAGTTAATTCAACATTACATCAACCAAGTTCGTGTATTTGGGAGGGGGGAGATATGTATTTGTACACTTTGATTGTTGCCGTTTCTCTTCTCTAAATCTGTTCCAATTTCAAGTTTCAAGTTTATTAGAATTTGTATGTCACCCACTCCGGAGTGGGACTCTGGGCGGCTCACAACAGACAAGAAACATTTAATTTTTTAAAAATAGAGATAAAATAAAAATACAGTATTAAAATTCATNCAGAAGAGCTAGCTGGAGAATTCTGGGAGTTGAAGTCCACAAGTTTTAAAGTTGCCAAGTTTGGGAATCACTAGCTTAATATCTACTGAAATAATTAAATACAGAAAAAATTAAACCATTAAAAACTTTCATAAATCACATTTATTTAGGGTTCAGTATTTGGTGGCTCACTGGTGTATTTAATTCTAGACATTTTATAAAGGCTAGAATGTATTATCAGTTCTGAAGATATTTCAAAGGACAATTTGATACTGAATTAATCAACGTAAAAGAATAGAAGAAAAAAATAATAGAATTGTCTTGCTGTTTTGACAATCTTCTGATGAGTATGTTTCTATATTATTTTTATATTCGTAAACAGCACCACCCCCAAAAAAGCAGATCTTGCATCTTCTACAAACACATAAAGAACAAAAAAAAAGCAAAATCACATCTACATGAATAAGAATGTAATGCCCTCCCTTTTGTCAGTAGTTAAGTGTTCACTGTATGCTCCACCTTGTTCAGTTCCCAAAATTGCATCCAATGCTGTATATCCTTGAAATTGGCATTGTTGTTAAGTGTGGACTGCTGGGAGGTGAAAGTTATTCACGATCTAAATGTCTGCCAGTATTGGGTTTACAACACACATACATCCTATCTATTGTAGAATCAACACAGTATATCTATAACCTCAAGAATAACATAACATATATTGGAGGTAATACATTCACATTTGCTAACTCAGGCATCTAGCTGAATGAGTCACACAAACTAAGAGTACAGAACAGTCTCCTAGAAGAATGAAATGGAAGCAAAGTGACCTTTTGTGCTCATATATCACATACTGAATACACTAATTTCAGTGTGTTTTACTCCTAGCTGACAGGATGGTATTATTCTTCAGCAATATATTTTTACCAAGTTAGACTGTTCCAATTATGACAATAGAAGAAGCAAATTGGGGACTGGATAAAACAGGAAATATCCTCAAAGCCTTCCCTCAAATCCAAGGCCCAGGAAAAATACGGGGCAGCTGTGGAAAATTTAACAAAGATATATGAAGTCATGCCTACTGGGAACGTGAACAATAGGTTTCTGGGAGAAAATCCTTCCTGAGCTTTCCATATTCAGAAGGGCTCAGGTGGTATTCAAGTACAGGTAGTCCTTGAGTTACAACCTTTCATTGAATGACCATTCAAAGTTACAATGGCACTGAAAAAAAGTGACACGGTCGTTTTCCACATTCATGACCATTGTAACATCCCCATGGCTCATGTGATCAAAGTTGGGATGCTTGGCAACTGGCATGTATGCATGAGATGCAGTGTCCTGGGATCATGTGATCCCCTTTTGCAACCTTCTGGCAAGCAAAGTCAATGGGGAAGCACTTAACATCTAACTAGTAGTTAGCTACCAGTTGTTACTAACTTAAAAAAACTCCAGTGATTCACTTAACAAGTTTGACAAGAAATGTTGTAAAATGGACAAAATCACTTAACAGATGTCTTGCTTATCACTTAGCAACAGAAATTTGGGGATCTATTAAGGTCATACCAGTGGTGGGATTCAGCCAGTTTGCACCTATTCGGGAGAACCGGTTGGTAACTTTCTAAGTAGTTCAGACAAACGATTGTTGGAAGAAATCTCCTTTTGT